GAAGGACTGCTCATCTTCTGTGATAAAAATCGAATTGCGTTTTGGGACTCCACCATGTCGCCACTGAGGTACAACAGGATACCGATGCACGAACGATATACACTTGCTTGCGGCCCTGGCAAAGCTGTGCTCTCATCTACTTCGGTGTACCCCGACATCAAAGGACACTTCTTGTTGCACATGTGCGGGTCAATCTCGAGGATCTCAAGAAGTCTCTCAACATGTTTGGGATGTGGTGTGATGACAACACTGCAACCGTCTTCGCCTAGTACATGTTGGCGCTTCAAAAACATCATGACATCACCCGGTTTCTCGAGAGTTTGATATGCCACCTTGAAGTGCCTCTGCATGGCCGGCACAAAAACTCTGCTCACCGCTGCCTGCTTCCCCAAATACTCAATGTCATCCACATGCGTTTGCAAGAACACTGGTCCATGTTGTGTGTTGCAAGAGAACATGCTCGGATAAGCAACGCAGCATGAAGCACTCACTTCATCACGAAGGCACTCAGACAACCTGGAATGCCACTTCGCCGTCCCGTCACGCTGTCCTGGGAGGAGGCGACCCAGCATAAATTTTCTGACCTCCTTTGTGCCCGGGACCTCGTATGAAACTTCCGTGGCCTCTTCCTGCAGCACCATAAGAAAGGCGTCGGACACATCCATGGACCCTAGCACCCAATCGCCATCCCTAGCCTGCAGGTATGTGAACATCGCTGGTAAAACCTTCGTCGCCACAGAGCTGGATGCTGGGCTGTACAAGCCCTCTTTCTCTGGACTTAACCAGGCGAATTCCCGAGCTACGTACCGGGATCTGCGAAGCCACACCGGTCTCTGCTCCTTGGTCTCGGGATCCGCAATGGTCTTCTCGCGCCACGACCTAACCATCTTTGTCGACAACTTCTTTGGGTTGTCCCTACGCTTGGTGGGCCCTTCCTCGGACCCCATTGGCAACAGCACCTTCATGTTGCCAAGCCGTGCCAACTCGAACTCATCGGCCAACCTGTCAAGCTCACTCAACTCGCTGGGGCTCAACCACGGCTCGTGCTCCGAAGTCCTGGGCAAGATGAGCTTGGACTCGATCGCGTTCAAATCGAGCTCCTCGTGACCATCATCATCAAAACCCTCATCGTAATCCTGAAGATCATCCAAGTCCTTGTACGTGAAGGCCCAATCAACCTCTTCATCCTCATGCTCATACCACTGATCACCGATCTGACAAATGGCTGCAAACTCAACTCTCTGCATCATCCTGGGCGCCTTCACTGCACGTGGGTTTTCGGACAAACCCGTTGCCACCTCCGCGGCTGCTGCTTCGCCTGAACGAGCCTGCATCGCTGCCTCGGTCACCAGCTCGCTGGATCCAGAGCTGGAGCCCCCACTCATGCCCGGCAACGACATCGACGCATCACTCCTTGAACTGGCCTGTCTGGAAGTCATCAACGGGGCATCCTGCGTCCCCGCCTCCACGGGATCACCTGGCAAGCTGGGCTCATACTCACTCAAATGGTCATTCACGCCATCGGGCTCCGAAGTAGGCGGGTCACTGCCAGCTTCATCCCGCGGACTCGTTGGATTCAATGCTGGGGCCACGGCCTGTGGAAGAACAACCCTCTTGTTCACAATCAGCCTGCCACCCAGGCTTGCAAACCCATGCTCCCAAGGGGCCAAAGCAACTTCACCACACCGATCTAGATTGAACCTGTCCTTCTCCACCAGTCTCCTCACCGATCTCGTGAGGAACAGCCCCTGAGGAGTTGCCACAATGTGGGTGTCATTTTGGGTCGTTTTCCCAAGCCACACGCCCTTGCACCACCGAGCACCTGCCTTGGCACTCGTTCGAAGGTAGCCAAGAACCACCTCGCCGTAACAACAAAGTCTACCAACATATTGGCTCGCAGTTGCCCTCTCAAAAGGAGTCAAGGAATGCTGCACCGAAAACCGATTATGAAGAAAAGCTGCATGAATGAGACTGCACATGTAAAAAGGGTGCTGGCTCCCAAAGATCACCTTGCCTTCGGCGCCGCACTGCTCTTCGACTTGTCCAACCAACACACCGCCTTGGCTCGGATGCTTTGCCACGCTTGCTCCACTGCACCGTTGGCCTCATGGTCCTCCACGGGCGCTGTCACACTCCTGGTTTTCACACCGAGCTGTCGGCATGCTTTCTCAACGCTCTTAACCACAGCCTTGATCGCCGGCTCACCATCCGACTTGAAGCAAACTTCACGATGCCCTAGCCACGTAACAAAACGTGTGCATTCAGTAGTCAAATACGACAGCGCCTGACCCCCTTTACTCATAGTGGGAATTGCGTGCAGAGCCTTGGTCTGCCTATCGTGGATCACCACCACGGTGAGGAGATTCTCTTCCGACTCCTGCCGTTTGCAAAACCCGAAGTCCAGGCTCACCACCGACTCGGAAGTGTGCGCATGATCTAGATCATGATGCTGGTCCTGACGACCTCGATGAGCCACGCACTGAGAGCACCACGCCCTGTAGGGCTGATGCGTGATCATATGCTCGGCGATCTCCTGCGGTGTTGGCTCATCCGGTTTCGCCACTCCTTTCGGCTTCCGCTCTGAGTCACCAACGGCCGCCGCAACAGCCTCGTGCTCTGCAATCAGAGCGTGCTCCTGAATGTGCCGACGAAGCCGCTCAAAACACTGTTTCTTGCTACCCCTCGTAGTTAACCCTAATGCTCCACAAGCCGCCCGCAATGCCTTCAGGGTTGAGGACATACTCAACCGAATACCGTCCACCTCAACCTCATTGTCATCCAAAGGCACATGACGTTCATCAACAGGTGGCTCTGCTTCACCAGGAGCAGCAGGTACATCCCTTGCACCTCCAAGGTCCGGGCTATCTTCGGCATCAAGAGCACCTCCAGCGGCATCATGAACAGCATCATCAGACCTCGGGGCTAGCGGTAGCGAATCACTCCGATAATCAAAGCCAAGCTCTTCAGGAGCAACGACATGATCATGAGCAATGGTCAAGACCAGCTCGATGTCCTGGGGGTTTGGCAAATCGCCCTCGAAATTCTCCATGTGGCTGATGTCCTCGCAAAACTCGATCAAATCCCACTCCTTTCCGGGTCTTTTAATCAACGTCGTTCTCCTCCAAAGCAAATCCCGGAGCGGGAGCAGGGTCGTGTTGATGAAAGTCGTGCTGTAGCCACACCTTGCGTACACATTGGTTCCGATCTGTACCAAGGACCCATCCTGTGGCGCACGCTCAAGTACAGGCTTCAAGACCACGGCCCGAACATGCACACGTTGGTCACACACTGGATCACTCGGCGAAGCGCCTGAAACATGCTCTAGCATCCTTATAGACCCCTGCACCGCCAAGGAGTTCCTCTTGAAGTCCACTGCCACTGAGTGCGCGTCACACCCAAGCTCGAGCTGATTGTTCCTCTTACGCACTTCAAAGCCTGCCTTGCATAGCCTCCCTAAGCAAAGCAATGGATGGCTCACTGGTGCAATGATGAAACGCTCCTTGAAACAAAAGTCGCCCAAAACCACTTCAGCGACCCTGACCTGTGTCACAGGAAGGTTGTTCCCCTGGGCATCAACAAATGAGTGGCCTGAGTCCTCGACTGCCTCGCCCACGGTGGCGAAGTGGAGGGGCAGAGCACTATGATCAGCCCCAGAATCCAAAATGCTCTCAAGGTTCTCTGTCCAGTGCTCGTCGTTGTCACTGTACGTCATGCTATACTCCTCTACCATACGAACACTACCATCATGAAAACTGTCTTGCTCGGTGAGGTCAAAGTAGGCAAGAGACACCCTCCTAATTGCCGAGGTGGAAGCCGAAGAAGACGAGGCTGCTACAGAGCTAGGCGCGGGTGCAGGCAAATCGCGATTGGGCTCATTCTGGTTCGCACTCTCAGTCACTGCACGCACTACACCATCACGCTTGGCTTGCCAACAATCTCTCTTGAAGTGCCCCGGCTTACGGCAATAATCACAAACTCTTTTCTGACGGTCCTTGCCACCGCCCTTGCCCCCGGCATCCTTTCCTGAAGGCTTTTCATAGCCCTTGCCTTTATCCTTGCCTCCCTTGGGAGAGCCCTTGTCATAGCCCTTCCCTTTGCCTTTGCCGCCCTTTGGAGCATCATACCAATACTGGCCTTTACCACCCTTACCAGGCTTACCACCCTTAGGCTTACCAGTCACGGCGTCTATCTCCATCGGCGCTGGGCCGTTCCCGACCCCAA